CTTTCCCTGCTAATCTTAGTTTTCGGATAATTTTACAGGTTTCATGAACACGTCACATATCACAGCACTAACATTTAACGAATATTAACGAAATGGCACGCAAGAATAAATTGGGTAGTCAACATGTCATTTTTTCACGTCTAATAGTTCATCGATTCTCCACCTAAGACGCTGCATGAGAATTTCTGTCATATGGACATGTCGGTAACGGTACTAAGCTATATATATTCTGTATTTATCGCGTTTATTTTTTTGTAAACAAATTTTTGAATTATAAATTAGCATTTTGTATGTTATTCAGTAATTTACTTTTATCGTATCAATTGATTAGGTCAAACTGTTACACTATTTACTTATACAATAAATCGACTAGGTAAATTCGACTAGGTTTTTATTCCTACCACAATTATGTCGCCACTGTCAACGCGGAGTTCACGGCTACGGGACCAGGAGCCTTAAGAATAATACGTAATACCCGGCTTCGTAGAACTTTGCGCGCCGGCGCGTGCGGGAAGACGCGAAATCGTTTATGTAAAAACGGCTTAATTAAAATTGATAAACAGTCGGCAACCACACTCGGCGCCAATTAATACGTGCGCTTCCGCTCAGCTATCGCAGCCGAGATATAAAGTATTCGACGACACTCGAGGAAGTCATAAATTCGCAGCGATAATGATCGGGGAATGTCGATAATTCATTCGTTTTTAACCAATGACTTTCTCAATCGGAGTCGTTTATCAGTCGAGCAATAACAATGGATTATTTTAACAGTTTCATATTCGACGGCATTATCAACGTGTTGCGATATATTTCAATCGTTGCAGCATAAAAGTAGGAAGAGCGATTAATGGACAACCCTTTCTCGTTTGTACCGAAGGTCTACGACGTGGGTGTGGAAAATGCATCGCAAAATATACATGTATCCAGTCCACAAAAGCTTTTCCCGGAGTTTCGTCGGCGAGTCGGGAGAAAACACGGTGACCCCGAGCGTCGAATAATCTTATTAACCAAAGTGTATCTGATCGTTTAAAGTCGACCAATGGTTACGCTATCGTCGGAATGGTTCTGTTTACTCCCTTGCCACCGCTCTCCCCTCGCTCGTCGTTTTGCATACTCGAACGGACCCGGGAGTGTTCCCGAATCCATTAACTGACGGTTCGGGTCAAGTTTACTCAAGACCACGGCGCCGCCGTGAATCTGCCAAGAAAGCAAAAAGCTTTATTAGACAGTGACAAAGTGAGCACGGCGGTTTGCACGGCAGAATCATAATGAGGAACGAAGAAAAGTCGGGTTTCGATGAAAAATCACCTTACATCGCTTTGAGAATAGTTGAACGTGAAACTCAGCGGGATCGTGTTCCTTAATAAACTTGCAGTCGATCTTTTTCTCTTTTTTTCTCTTAAAAAAAAAGAAAAGTGTAAACCGCAGCTTAATTACGGGCTAATCCTTTATATTAAATATTACAGAACTTTCACAAATTGAGCTTCAAAGGTATTAATTACAGTTTGCGCGAACGGAGTATCCGTAGACTCCACAGACGATTATAACTCTGCATTCTCGCGGATATGATAATGTCATACATGCGATAATGGACGCGGATATAAACGTTGTATGGGAAATAAGTGACCGTTAAATGCGGTAAGCTCTTCGGTGGAAGCTTGTTGGAAAATTTAGCTTTGAGATATCCGGCTGCTGCTTCTACGACGTAGTTTATTCGAGACTTGGGGTATTATGCGAGAAAGATCCCGGCAAACCGCCGCGACGAGTACCGCCGACTCGCGACATCGATATACACGAGACGGCTAACGAGGCATTTCAAAGCGCGATTGTCTACATCAAAGTTGCATGATAAGGATCAAAGTTCTATCGAGAATCCCCTGCCGTTGCCGTCGTCGCAGCGTCTCTCATTCTCCGCGGAGACGCATACAAAATTACTCGGCATTGTCTCTCACTCTTTCCAAGGCAATGGCTGGTGATTATTATTTAGCTGCGCGTTATACCTCTCTAACATCCCGATATAGAAGCTGCCGCTTCTGTTTGCTTCATTTGCAACAAAGAGAAGAAGTCAAAATGGGTTCAATCAGTGATCTTGCCACGGTTGAAATTAATTTTTTAATATAATTTCCAGTGTAAATTGCGCGTGCCGATTAAAGGATGTTTTCCTCTAAATTTCGCGGAAAGTAAAAGAGGTAATCTCGTAGCTTCCGCAATCTCGATTTCGTTTTCGTTACTTTTCTCGCCTGTCTTCTGTAATATAAATGTAAATCTGCGCTGCAGCGAGCCGTTACTGACTAGTGATATTTTTATTCGATAGTTCCTCTCGCTTCCTGGTAAATTTTTCCTTGACCATTGCAATCAAGCGGAAGCACTCTCGCGCGGGGATCCTTAGTCCTTGGATCACCGATCATACGAGCCATGGTAAAGTCAATGTTTTCGGAACGGATGGACATGAAGATGGAGTGGCCGGCACAGACGAAGACGGAAACGCAGACAGAGACAGAAGACGGTTACTATGACGACCGTGAGGAGAGGAAAGAGAGTAGAGATCGTGGTGAACGACAGATTGAAGCGAAAGAGCAGAGGAGAGAAAGAACGACGAGGGGTGAATGAAGAGCTACGATACATGGGGTGGATCGAGAGAGAAAGAGGGAAGCAGAAAAAGAAAGAGAAAAACGGGAAGAACGAAAGAGAAGTTACGATCTGAGGGATGCAAAGCACGAGAACGGAGAAAAAAAGGGAGAAAAGGGAGACAGGACTCAGGAGAGAATAAATGAGAAGATACGACTCGTAGCAGACAAGAAGGAAACTGAGAAAAAAAAGGAAACGGAAGGAGCCGGCGAGACAACTACACGGCGTTACGGCAGCAGCTATATGGCTGTCAAAAGAAATGGTGGTAAAAGTAGGCAAATCATGAGAGAACTACGAGAGAAGGCAATGTCTGAATGGGGAAAAAAGTCATGAGAAAATACGATTCGAAAGAGAAAAAAATGCTATTTGGATATTTTGCTTGAAATTATCAGCAACGAATATTAATGTATCCGGCATAATCGCGTTTTCAAGTTATGTTCTTCATGGATACAAATTTTTTCATTAACGTTTCGGCTCGTATATTTAGATTGCCAATGAAAAACTGGAAAATGATTATTAAAATTTGATTCTTAGGACAATTATTTAGGACTATTATCCATTATTTTGTTTTTAGAGGTGGACGGATGAGGATTGTTCGTTTCAATTCTTTCGCTTTCGACTCTAAAATATGTAGATTGACTCCGCGAAGACGGATAGAGATAGATACGTACGAGCTAGAGCAGGACAACCGTCGAAAAACGGGGAGAGTTAAAAGGTGAGGGGTGGCGAGCTAGAAACGGCTGATTGGGAAAACTATTACTCTCTCTCGATCCTCCCTTCGTCACCGGTCGGACGGAGGGTTTGAGCGCCGAGTGATGTTAATTGCGCTGCTACCGCCAGCAGGCAATATGTATTCGAGGAACGCTCGAAACGTTCGAACGAAGACGACTTGTAAACGCCACCTCCGCGCCGCTAGCCCTTCCCCCTCCCTCCCTTCCCCCCCCCCTTCGTTGAAAAAGTAACGCTTCCGGGACAAACATCGTGAACGAAATGGACCAAGCTTATACGCGACGGCAATATCGCGCGACGATGGATACGCGCGTCATGATTTTCGATGGGTAGTCGGCGCCATTTGTATGGTAATTTTTCGCGACTATGTCTCCGTCTAATTTGCGACGCTTCGTGGATATCGGTTCTGTGAGAAGTTGCGAACGAAAGCGGCGGAAAGCGATAGCGATAGCTCGGAGGCGAAAATGTTGATTTTG